TAGTAAAGTTGCTTTGCCTCTTTCTACCTTGTTGAAAAAAGATGTTGAATTTAAATTTGCTGACAAGTGTAGGCATGCTTTTGACACTTTGAAATCTATGCTTGTTTCACCTCCTATTTTCACTGCACCTAACTGGAATTTACATTTTGAGTTGTCTTGTGATGCTTCTAACTTTGTAGTAGGTGCCATGCTTGGACAGAGGGAGGAGAAATAATCTAGAGTCATCGCATATACCTCCAAGACACTTGATTCTGCTCAAGTGAATTACACCACCACAAAGAAGAAACTGTTTGCTATTATTTTTGGTTGGATAAGTTTAGACAATATCTAATAAACTCTCAAGTGGTTGTTTTTACAGATCACGCAGCAGTTCGATACCTTTGAGAGTGATTCTTGATTGGGAATTTTGTTGTTGGTTTCTATGTCCTCTTGCTTTCATTCACCTCAGTGTTCTGCACTACTATATGGGCGAGTTGATGTTTTCTCTGTTGCTGACTTTTGACTTTTGTAATCCTTGGGTATTTCTTTTAAAATCCATTTGCACAATGCTTGTGAAGGATGCATGACTAAGTTTGATTGCATTTGATTTAAGTGATCTCTGTTCTTAGTTGGTTAGTATAGTAGAATGACTTTGGTGCAGTGTTATTAACCTTGTTTCATAGCTTGACCCATAAAAAGGAAACATCTTGGAGAAAGCCTTGATGGAAGGATTGTTGAGCCATATATTCTTTCTCATCTTGTGTGATTTTCACCTAGTTTTGGTTAACCTCTAGAACTTGTCTAGATTCTTTTTCAAAGCTGCTTTAATACCTAGGTTTATGAAGATGATAGGGGCATTCATTTCTAAACCTTTAACCAAACACAAATCACTTCATTTAACCTTTGTTCACCCATTTAAGCCTTCACTTTCATTCCATTCAATGCTTTTTAGCAATTGTTTTGCATGAGTTACATTTGGTTTTTCATTTTGAAAAGTACATCATTAATCTCTATGTTTTTTCCTTCTTGGGTTGGATGCCAAAGAAAAAAAAAGAAAAAAAAAGGAAATAGAAAAAGGAAATAAAGAGAAGAAAATGTTTAGAAAAAGCCAAAGAAAGAAAGTTATAGAAGAAAAAAAAAGAAAAGAAAATAAGTTACAATAAAAGAATAAATTTGAAATAAGGCATTCAATGGTGGTTTGAAGAGCAAGGATTTCTGTCTCAAAAGGTTAAAATCTGCACATTGGTGTTGTTTCATGATTATACTTTAGCTCACTTTGAGTTGATATTTTATTACTCATGCATTTCACTTATTAGTCCATTGCATTCATTTGGCCTTGTGTTTTGACATTACAACCCTTCAAGTCCCCTTGATCATAAATCTAAGGTATGCTAATAGTGGAGATATTAGAATCTCTACAAGCTTATGGTAGGTGCTAATCTAGGTGGATTAAGAGAAATTTTTCCCATCTGAGAGATGAGTGAAACACTTGTACCCTATGTGAGCTCTATTATGTTTCTCTTCCTTTATCCTGTTATGTTTCAAGTGTTAATTTCTCTGCACTAAAGTATTCTATGATTTTTAACTGATTAGGAATAAAAGTTGCTGGAGTTAATTGCACATTCATGCTTAGTTGGTTTTATGTTTGCTTAGATTGAGTCTTTCTATTGGATTCTTCTTTATTGATGTTTTGCCTAGGAGTACAAAAGGCTAAGTGTGGGGGAGTTGACAAACTCAATTATTTTTATATATTTTGATATCTTTTATATGGATTTTGTCAACTTAATTAGTCCTTTTGGCCTTAATTGATTGTTAATTGATTAAATATATTTTATTTTAAATTATTATTTTATAGGGGCAAAATTGTCATATTTTGATTTAATTGTGACTATTTGATTTTTGAGGACAATTAATACTACCTTATCCTTGAATTTTGTTTGCAGGTTTTTAGAACATTTAAAAATTAAAATGAAAATAAAAAAAAAAAGAAAAGAAAGAAAAGAAGAAAAAAATAAATTAAAAATATATATAATAATAAAAGGGGGAGTAAACACAACGTTTTGCCCCCAACCTAATATACAATTAATCATCATCATCTTCATATTGAAGGGACGGAGGCAAAGTGAGTTGGCGGCGGCAAAAAAGAAAAGAGCTAGAAACAGAGGCACGGCAGCGTGAACAGAGCAAAGACGAACAGGGAGTGACGGCAGGAAGAAAGAAAGAAAGAGGAATAAGGCACGACAACAAACAGAGGTGAGGGACCAGCGACGTGACCATCATCGTCAACTTCTCTATTCGTTCCGTTCTCGACATGACAGAACCAGCGACGAGCAGAGGCAGAAAACAGGGAGTTGGACAGCGTTATCCTTCATCATCTCTTGCACTGTTCCGTCACGTCTCTTCTATGGAATCTTGTAGCAGAGTTCTGAATATGGCATTTTTTTATGGCAAACCATGGCTAGCTTCATAATTCTCTAATTCAACAATAATGGCAGGAGCTCAGATCGTCAAAGGGGAGTTTAGTTACTTTAGTTTCCTGTCTAATAATTGTTTAACAATTCTAGGTCTTAGAATAGTTATTCTCATTATTAGAAAATTTTTATTTTTTAATCTGATTACATTTGGAGATTATTGTGACTGGATTATTGTTTAGCATTTGACATTGGGCTGTTTATAACTTTAATTTCAATTATAATGTTGTGGTTATGACATTTGTATTGATTTTGGAGTTAATATATTGTGATTTTTTGAGGTGGCTTGAAATCTTGGATCATATTGTCTCTTGCTAGCTTTAATTCTATTGTTTTGGATTTAAAAGTTCTAATTAAGCATTAGTTTTTAGCATCCTTAATCCCATTTTACTATTCTGGTTGCAGTTAGTAAGTTGGGATTTTAGGAAAATATTTGGTGGCAATTCGAGGTGGCTCGGTTGTTAGATTAAAAGCTTAATTATAATTCTAAATTCATTGTTTTAACTCTCGTATCTTTTGGAGTGAGGATTGCCTGCGTTGTTGAATTGGAAGATTGATTATTATCATTTTTATTTGTGTGTTTCATTTTCATTTCTTTAATCTTCATTCATTTTAATCATTTTTATATAAAAACAAAAAAAAGTATTTTAATTTCAATTTAATTCATGGTGTTTAATTAGCAATTATCAAATCAAAAATCCTTTTTGATAGTTTAGGTTACTTGCATTTATTTACTAGGATTTAATTTCATTTTCGGTTCCTCAAAGTGAATACGACCCGGATTGTGCACTATATTACATTAATTCGGTTAATTTTTGGAGTAACCCCAAAGCGACAAATTAAGGGCAATTAACTTCAGTGCTCATCTTGGTTTTGTTTGATTCTTTTGGTATTGATCTCAGAGGAGGTTTGAACATCTTTTCCACCATGGTGGCTATTTTTAATTTGTATGTCTTCATTCTCAAACCAAAACATATTCTTAAAAGTTTTAATATCTCCCCCTTGATCATAACTTCTTACATGTTTGAAGGGGAATCTAGTTTCAACGAAGCTTACATCCCTATTCACAAAAATTGTTTTAGCTTTCAAGTCTAGGAATAAAAATCCTTTCTAATTTTCAGGATAATCAAGAAAAATGCAAGGAATATATCTAGGTTGAAGTTTATCATTATTCTTCAAATCGATAGCATAGGCTAAACATCCAAAGGTCCTTATATTATTCAAATAAGGTTGCATGCTGTAAATCCTTTCATAAGGAGTTTTGTAACTAATCATTTAGAGAAAATTCTATTAATTAGATATACAGTTAGTTTAACACACTCCCCCCAGTATTTTATTGGTATTCCTGATTGCAAAATTAGACTCCTAGTAATCTGCATAATTGTTCGATGTTTCCTTTTAACAACATCATTTTGCTCAGGAGTGTAAGAACAATTGGTTTGATGTAAAATCCCTTTATCTTGGAACAAAGTTTTTATTTCATGATTTATAAATTCTATGCTATAATCACTTCTGACCTTTTGTAAATGAACAGAGAACTAGGTAGAAACATAAGAAATAAAGTTTCTAATGTGTGTCACAGCCTCACTTTTATGTTGTATCAGAAAAATCCAAGTTCCACATGAGAAATCATCAACGATAGTTATGAAATATTGAAAACCTTGATGTGTGGGTGTCTTGTAAGGGCCCCACACATCAAGGTTTTCAATATGGTATGCAGTAATTCTAATTTGATGAATAAAACTCTTGAGCCTTGTAATATTTGTATATAATCAAAGCAAACCATGTTCCTTTTATGCCACAGCTCAATGTTAGTATTTCGAAATTTTCCACTAGACTTTTGAATAATAGGATTATCATATTTTTGAAGAACACTCATAGTAGCAAGTTTGTTCTATATTTTTAAGACTTGTAAACCTCCCATCAATCTACCAATCATCCCTATCCTCCTATATCCCAAAGGCCCTGCATTAAACAGAGATCAGGAAAGAAAGCAGCCATGCAATAATTTTCTTTGGTTATTCAAGACACAAATATTAGATTAAATTTAAGTTCAGGAGCAAACAATACATCATTGAACTGAATATGGTCAGCATTAGTTACGTTTCCTATATGTGTCACAGGTAAACACTGACCATTAGGAATTTTGATAGATTTAATGGGTCCATTGTAAATCTTGTATTCATCTATCAAATTCAAATTTCCAACCATGTGCATTGTGGCCCCTGAATCTAATATCCAACTAGTGCAAGATGTATATTGAGAGGTAGAATCATACAAACCTGTACCAATTAATACGTGGTAGTTGGTTCTAAGTCCTTTTACGGTAGTTCCAGGATCCTTTCATATTGTTCTTGAGTAAAGGTGTGTGTGATGGTTACATAAGCCTCAGATTCATTTGTTGTATCTCCACTTGGATTGTAGTTTTTAGTCTGCTTCCCTTGTTTCCCTTTGAAATTAGGGGGATAACTGATATTTGGAAACAATTCTCCTTGACATGCCCTTTCTTATGGTAGTGAGTATATTCAGGAAGATTTTCACCATGTCCCTTCATCTCCCATGACCCCTGCCCCTAGCAGCCATGGCAACACCTTCTACAGAGATGCTTCTCTCTGCACTTGCTATCACCTGTTGAGCTTCATCTTGAACTATCACTACATAGGCATTGTTTATAGTAGAAAGAGGAGACATTAACAGGATTTGGCTTCTGGCATAGGTGAAAGATTCGTTGAGTCCCATCAAGAATTGAAGCAATTTTTGTTCCTAAATGGCTTCATCATGAGCCTTCGATGCCTCACATTTACATGATGGTATAACAACCAACAAAGCCTGCTCCTCCTAGAGTTTCTTAAGCTTAGAATAGTAAAACAAAATAGGGGAGGAGCCTTCTCCGAGGGAACTAATTTCCCAATAAAGTGCAAAAATCTGAGCACCGCTCCTTCTGTCGAATCTTTCCTTGAGATCCAACCAAGCTTGCTATGCGCTTTGGTAGTAGATTACTCTATTAGCGAGTTCTTTGGATACAGAGTTAATTACTTACAATCAGACTACAACATTGCAACACTCCTATTGAGCACGCAGTCTTTCTTCCTGATCAACCTTTCAGCATATCTCCTCTACAAAGATGAGCTTATGCTTCCCTAGTAGCGCAATCTGCATCGTGCAACTCCAGAAAGTGTAATTCTCCATTCCTTTGAGCATATGAGGAATAACAAAGGACCCCTAGGTGTCGGAAGGATGAAGATAGAGTGGGTGTGAGAATGGCAAACTCTCGATTGATTTTTCTTCTCCTATTGGAAGTTGTTTGCTAGGGTTTAGAGTGAAGAATTAGAAAGAAAGTGAAGCTTAGACCATTTAAACGGGTTTCTTGAATCTGAACCCAACCTAACTCTAATACCCAACCTAACTCTAATACAGTGTTGAGCTGGGCCAGGCTATTGAACCCAACACACTAACACAATGAAGGAGGAACTGAAACATTCATTGAATCTCACTTGTGTGAGATATACCGCATCATCTAGGCCTTAGTGAGGCCCACAATTTATACATAGATCTGCTTAAGTAAAATGCAACCTATGTGACAATAATTTACGTCTTTCATTAGTAAATTCAAATGTTATAATCGAATTTAGTAAATTAATCGTGTGTCACTTTTCACATATACAATATTAATTTGCATGCCTTTGCGCACTTTAATATTAAAAACTTGACACATATAAATGTAAATGGTTTTATTCATGTTTGAATATATATGATGATTAACAAAAAGGAAGCTTTGCTCTCAAGTCTCAACCGCGTACAAATAAAGCAGACTTTATGATGGTCTGCCCATATATAAACTTACGGAGCTAACATGAAGAATTAGTAATACAAAACATGCACACATATCACATATGGCCACAAAATAAACAAGCGGAAACTATAGCACAACGTTAGACTCATCCCAATCACAATTCGAACATTTGAAGGAAATTGATCACATAAGATTCTGTTACTTACAACAATAAATCCAAAAATGAAATGCAGCAATCATTAAATATAAGATAAAATACAATAAGTAAATCAAATCAGTACGTGTGCAAATCAAATCGAACCAAGAGTATTGTACTTAGATGATGTTGTACTCACCATAAAGGAAAATAGCTTTTAATAGAATTTATCTCCTTGATGACATCAGTTGCACTCATTCTTTTATGAGATGATTCCATTCAACATGCAAGTCCAATCTCAAATAAAGAACACAAGCATTTCTCAATATTAGGATGGATTCGCATCATGTTCTTTGATGAGTCTCCTGATACTACCACTATATGTTCTAATTCTTGTGGAAGAATAGTCAGGCTTGCAACCTCCAAAAGCTTGTTTGGGAATGAAATTTTCACACATGTTTGAAGATTGTGGCCATCTTTAAAGTACCTTCAGTCCATCTTCTTTTAGTTAACTTTGCCACTAGAACAATGAACTCATGTTTGATTGTGTGAGTACTTTTTAAAAAAAATTAAAATTTCACATTTCTCTTAGAGAGTTTACTCTTCACTATCATTCATGAATCCATTTAATTCAATCAATCTAATTAATATAGATACACATGTGACTTATAATTTTTTTTTTTTTTAGATTTACATCAGACTCTTAGTGTGTGGTGTACTTTTGAGATACGTAATTCATGTGGAATTGTATATAATAAATAATGTTCATATAGCTAGAGTTTAAAAGGACTTAGTACATCAATCTTGCTAGTATATATGTTTTTTTTTCTTTTTTTTCGTGTTAGTATATATGTTACTTACAAAAATAAAGAACGAATTAATTTATATAATTTGCTCGCTCTCCCCAAACGCCGTCCTTTTTTGTTGTTGCTATTTTTCAATTTTTGTAATTTCCTTTAAACAATACAAAACTAATTATGAAAACCAAAAAAGAAAGAGTCTATACGAGATGCGTCAAGTGGATATTGAAATGGGACATCTATTTATAATTATAAATAAGCTGAAAGAAGTAGTAGTAATAATAATAATAATAATGAAAAATTAATCTCCAGCTCCTTATAATTTTATCTAGTCTTAAATCGGGTTCTTATAGTTTTTTCTCCTTCCTATTACGTCCTTATTGTTTATTCTGTTAGTGGTGTTAGTCCTTCTGTCAAAAAAAAAAATCCTTACAAACCCTGTTAATTTGAGTTAACAGGGATGAAGTGATCTGAGTAAAATCTGACTAAGGACACATCTATAATCTTTAATTCTTCATTTGCCTCCTTGCACGGCAAGGCAACAGTCGCTGTGCTATGCCCTGGCGTCTGCAATCCGTGCTTACCAACCTCATGAGCACGGGCTGGCATTTTGAGTGCCAAGCAGGGACCTTCTTTTTTTTTTTTTTGCTTTTTCTTTCTTTTTGTTCTCCCTTTCTTACTCAGTAAAATTACATTGTATTACATCATTAAAAAAACCACATTGTAATAGAATTATTTTTGAGTTAAAGTTCATAAAACACCTTAAAATATTTTTTAAAAAGTGTCTCGTGTCTTAAAGTATTTTGTAATATTGCACACCAAATATTTTAAGACACTAAACGTACTTTAAAAAATAATTGGGATACTCAAAGAATCACAAAATACTTTAGAATACTATATTTTAAAATATTTTTTCATGTGCATAGAGTATTCTTAAATATTTTGTGATCTTGCATTACAAAATACTTTAAGATACTGGATGCATCGGAAAAAACATTTCACAGTGTTGAATGAAACATAAAATATTTTAGGATACTAAATCTTGAAATATTTTTTCAGGTGCGTTTAATATCCTAAAATATTTTATGATGTTTTTATGATGTTGCATCACAATGTTTTGAGTAGTGAGGGGCCTTTTTTCCTCTTTTTTTCCCTTGGTCATAACAAAAAAATATACGTATTAGAATTATTTTTGGTTAGGATTCATCTAGTTTTAAAAAATATTTTTTCAGTTACTTTCAGTACTCTAAAATTTTTATGATTCATTTAACATTCGAAAATATTTTTTAAAATATGTCTAATAATTTAAAATATAGTGTGATATAACATCATAAAATACTTCAAGACACTGAACTTACCTGAAAAAATATTTCCATGTTTAATAATTCTAAAATATTTTGTGATTTATCTATTACTCTAAATTATTTTTTCAAGGGTGTCCTGATATAATGTGATTTTAATGAATAATTAAGAAAGGAGGAGGGGGGAAAAATTCAAATATAAAGGTCCCTGCTTCTACCAAGGAGAAAAAAAAAAGTCCCTGCTGACGTTGTGGGCTGGGGGTCAGTTTCGGGCGACGGAACTACTGAAACTCATCAATTACGCACATGGCAAGATTTGCCATAATGAGGCCTTCCAACCCAATCAATGTCACAGAGTCTTCTTGAAGAGCCCCTTATTACCTAGTGCTTTGGTTTCAATGTCTATGAGCCATTGATGAAGCAGGTCCAGGATATCATGGCTGCTCCAGCATCCTAGCCTTCTATTTTCTTTATTCATTTTGACCATGAACGAATATGTAATAAAACTGTGAGGGAAAAGTTGGAGAAATAATCTTATAAATATCATAGATCACATGATGATGCATAGTAAGATTTTATTCAGGCACTACAAAAAAATTGACTTTTTGTCGCCGCTGAAAGTTTTCAGCTGCGACAAGTCACCGTTGAAAAGTCGTTGCCGTAGCAGCCGTAGCTGAAAACTTTCAGTGACAACTAAAAAGGTTGCCGCTGAAAGATACTTTCAGCGGTGACTTTTAGAAGTTTCAGCGGCAACATTTTGTCGCTGCTGAAAACACTTTCGGTGGTGACATTTGTCACGGCTGAAAGACACTTTTGGCGCCGACATTCTTGTGGCCGCTAAAAGACTTTTTAGTAGCGACAAATGTTGCTGCCAAAAGTGTTTTCAGCCACGACTTTTTTGTCGCTGCTGAAAGTAATGCCTAATAAGAATTGGCCTTACCAACACCATGTCATCGTCACCGGCGCCACATCATCACCGCCGGTGCCACATCGTCGTCACCGGCTGCCACATCATCACCGTCGGCCGCCACATCATTGTCATCGGCGGCCACATCATCACTAGCCACCTCCACGTCATTGCCACATCACTCCTTCTCGCCACGTCATCGTCCAAATATTTTCATCTTAAATGTGTCTTCTTCAAGGTTCGAACTCATGACCGCCTCCTTTCGTGTCCGATCTTCTTGCCGCTGAGCCAGATTGAATTTGTTTATTAATATTGTAAAATAAAATATATATTATTATATTACACTTTCAGTGGCGACACTTTTGTGGCCGCTGAAAGCCTTAGTTTTAGCATTGAACTTTCAGCGACGACAAAAAAAGTCGTCGCGTCTCCGCCGAAAGTCGTCGCCTAAAGTCTGTTTTTTTGTAGTGAGGCCACATCATCCCTGTAACTCAAATTAACCGCGCTTTAGGGTTTTTTGACAGAAGGACCAACACTACTAACAAAATAAACAATAAAGATGAAATGGAAAGAAAAACAAAATATAAAGACCTAATTCAAGATTGGATGAAATTATAAGGACATGCAGATTAATTTTTTCTCATTATGATTATGATTGAAATGAGACACATCACAAAACGTTGCGTAACACAACACACCAACAAAAGCCGATACATATTACTCCTCCGGTCCTTAATATAAGACCCATTTAATTAATTTGATTAGATTAAAGAAGTTAGGTAAATTAGTTAATTATAAGAAAAGTGATGCATTTTTCCTAAAATACCACAATCATCTTTCTTAATACCCCCTCTCCTTCTTCTACTTGATTATGGTTGAGGGAGTATCCATAAGGGTAATTTAGAGAAAATTAATAAATATGACAAATGAGTCCTATATTTAGGATCAAAACCAACTCAAGAATTGAGTCCTATATTAAGGATAGGAGGAGTACTACCTTAGGGCCTATTTATTATTTATATATTACACATAAGCCACGAGAGAGGTAACATATTAAGGTGTTACTAATGAAGAATGGTTACACAAAAGAGAGAATGGGCCTCAAACGAAAGAAATTGGAGCATAAGTTGACTTTGGCGTAGAGATTATAGCCTGCGGTTGGATCCAGCCACCGGTTCACCGGGAAGGCTACCTTGGTAGATTTGTAACATCCTAGGACGTTGATCTGCACGTAATCCAAGTACCACCCGGGTATGTCCCTCTGCCATCGGAGATGACGGTGATGGCGCAAAGATCGAGGCAAGGGCCGGTGCCGCTGAAAACGTCGAGTTTGTCCTGCTCGAAGTAGTTGTGACCGGGTTCCATTATGCCCCAATCTTCGAGGTTGTCGACGGAAAATCCATTGCCGGAAGATGTGTTTAATTTGAGGCTGATGGTGGAGTCTGTTGATGCGTCTTGGACATCTCCCGTCTTCACTCGTACAACGTACGCACACTTCGCCTGCACGCATGCATATAAAAACACACACAGAGAACCAAGTACGTGGAAGGAATATATAAGAGCTTAAAACTAACCATGGATCAACACAAGAGAGCAACTACTTACAGATGTAGCCATTGCAGCGAAGCTGATGAGCGAGAGAAGAAAGACAAGAGAAGACAATGCAATAACTCTGAGAGCCATTTGGTTAATTAGCTTGTGACCCTATTGATTTACTTCTAAATATACAACTTATTTAACTAATTTGATTAGATTAAAAAAGTTATATAAGTTAATTAATTATAAGAAATATAACATGTTTTTTCTAAAACACTATAATCATCTTTCTTAATATCATCTATCTCTTCTACTTGATTATAGTTGAAAGAGTATCAATAGGAATAATTTAAAAAAAAATTAATAAGTATGAAAAATATGTTTTATGTTTAGAAGTAAATCAACTCAACAATTAGGTTATATATTAAAATACCTTACTATGTATCCTTCCTCTTAGCTTTCTGTTGTTTTCTATATGTCCTCTTTTGTATTTCTCTTGCTACGTACACCTTTATTCATATACTCCCTCCGTTTCTTATTATAAGATCTATTTTTTTGAATAGGTTTGTCCCTTTTTATAAGATTCTTTTTGAGTTTGTTTAAACATTTAATACATTATTACCTATTTTACCCCTAGTTTAATACATTTAATACATTCTCTTTCTTCATTTATCTCACTATTACTCCCTCCATTTCTTATTATAAGAGACAAATAACCGAAGTACGTTGATCAAAAAAATAGTTAAAATTAGTTAAGAACAATTAATGTGTAAAAAGTATAATTTTTTTTCCAAAAATACCCTCATTAATAAGGAGAGAGAGCATGAGAGAGAACAATTAAATTATTAAAAGAAAGAGAAGTGGGAGGAAGAGAGAGTGTGAGTTGGAGATAATAAATATGGGTAAAATAGGAAATCAACACAAAAAAGTAGAGACAACTTTTAAGTGTCTCTTATATATAGGAATATGCCATAAGTATCAAATGTCTCTTATAATAAGGAACGGAGGGAGTACTTTCTCACATCTACCAATTTATATATAGGGGTATATTTAGAAAAAAATTATATTTGTTACATATTAATTGTTTTTAATTCATTTTAATTATTTTCTTAAACCACACGTAATTTAGTTAAAAGAATAGGGCGACAAAATATCCCCTCAGAGCGTGTCAGTCTTCTCGATAATTTAAAGAACTTAAATGCACGTTTTTGTATTTGCGTTCCTCAGCAATCTAGTGCGAATGCGATTTGGCAGGTCGGGTTTACTTGATCTAGCTATTTTTAAATATAAAAACCATTATACTCAAATGATAAGGTCCCAAAACAATTTTCAATTGTAAATCGCATGTGGATAAATGATCTTAAATTATATTTACAAAGGTGAAAATAAATGGAGTATTCTGGTTATCTCTGCGTTCTATGCGAAGCCCTCTATTATATCTACAATGTTTCGTGCTATGAGTGGTACCAAAGTCTTGTTTGGTAGGAAAACGTATTCACTCTCTTACTATTATTATATTGTTATTATTATCAAATAGTATTATTTTTTTATTACAAAAGAAAAATATATTTTTATGATTATATGATAGTTAATTGTTGTGTTGTTTTTTTTTTTGGCCAACAATTGTTGTGTTCAAGTGGTTTAAATAATTATGATTATGATTTTTTTGAAACAGTATTATTAATATAGTTTATACATTGTAAAAAAAATCTGACGAATGTCAAAGAGAGGGTGAAGGAATGTACGTAGTTGCTAGTTTGTTGGGCTGGGAAATGGTATTTTAAAACAGTAACTAGCATCAGTAATTTTTTCTTTCCATTTAATAATGATGAAAACCGAAAATGAAAGAGTCTATATCTATAAACACATATATGTATATGAAACTCTAAGATAATTTTATCAATTTAATGTATTCTTTAATACACGAAATTAGACTATAAGTGACTTATATATATATATATATATATCTCTTTAATACACGAAAATGGAGTATAAGTGACTTATATATAAAAATACAGAAATAAAGTGATATAAAATTAATATTGACCTTCTTGTAGGCTTGCTGATTGAAGTTTTATGCCTTATTCATTTCAGATATTGTTGGATTAGTGTGTATGTTTATAGATTTTGGGCCTTCAATCTGATCATGTCTCAAAATCAGTTGGTGGTTTTATATCTATAGTTAATTATTGTTTCGTTAAATAGATTGTCTCCAACGTAAAAAAGAAAAAAAATTACTGTAAATTTACTTTTTTCTGTAATGCACCCGGCAAGTGGATTTGTTGGGTTGAAAATACAGACACTGATTTGTCATCTTCCTCCATGTCAATATATTACCTTCGATTCTATTTTATATATATATATATATATATATATATATATATATATAAGAGCTTGTTGATAAATTTGAATAGATTAAAAAAATTAGTTAAATTAAGTATTTGTAATAAATACGTGTTGTTTTTTTTAAAATACTTTTGCTAATCATATGTATTAGCTTAAACTATTATTTGATAAAATATTTAACATGTGTAATTACTACAAGAACTATCTTAAAAAAATAGATAAATATAAGAGACAAATAAATTGAGATCTTATATTTAGAATCAAATTAAATATTAAACTAACTTTTATACTAAAGGTGGGAAGTAGTATCATGCATAATACTCCTCCGGTCCTTAATATAAGACATAATTGTTGAGTTAGTTTTAGTCCTAAATATAAGACTCATTTCTCATATTTATCAATTTTCTCTAAATTACCCCTATGGATACTTCCTCAATCATAGTTAGATAGAAGAGGGAGATAAGGTATTAAGAAAAACGATTATGGTGTTTTAGGAAAAACGTGTCGGATTTCTTATAATTAACTAACTTACCTAACTTCATTAATCTATTCAAATTAGTTAAATAGGTCTTATATTAAATATCAGAGGAGTAGTACTTTATTTCCAAGCTTCTTTGTTTGCGCAAGATTTCAATCCTCAAACAAGCCTCCGCCCTCCGGCAGTTACGAAAGCCCATCTTTCACGCTGTGACTGGGTTCGGAGGGACAATAAGTCGCCAACAACGAGTTTCACTTTTAGAAAAGCAGAGCATATAAGAAAAGCCTTTGTCACTCTCTATTCATTTTATTATTTGGATATGTTGATCCGTGGGATGTCAACTTTTCCTTCTCATAACGTTCTTTGTACAAATGTCCTCTTCATTCATCTCCCCTATTTTTTTGGATATGTTGATCCGTGGGATGTACCTTTTCTTCTCATAATGTTCTTTCCACACATGTCCTTCATCTTCCTTATTTTTTTATTCTTTTTTATATTATCAGACTTATTTCCTTCGAACACACGTTGTACATTCGCAAGAATTAGATGGGAGGCGAAAGAGCTTTTTTTTTTTTAATATATTTTTTTTAAAATTAAATTAAGACATTATTTTAATATTTTTCCCATTATTTACATTTATGACTAATGCTTATTATTATGAACACTCTTAACTAAGTTATAAATTTAATTATTTTATTTTTAAGTGGATACTAGATAACAACTGTCCTTGCTTACATGGATTAAAATGAGCCCATTAGTCAAACCAAAATTTGAAGCTTGAACCCACATATATATAGTTCAAATAATTAACTTAACTAATTTTCTTAATATTTAAAAATTAGTTATCTTACTTTTATACTAAGAATTGAAGGTAGTATTAAAGAGATCAGCTATCTTGCTCATCATCCATTTACCCATGTTTAAATGTCTAAACTATTAGATTCAAATGATAAGGTCCCAAAATAATTTTTAATTGTAAAGTGCGGCCGGATGATCGCAAATTGCAGTTACGAAGGTGCAAATAAATGGAGCTTCCCGGTCTCTGGGTTCTATGTATGCGAAGCCCTTTGTTGTGTTGGGGCAATATTATAATCTTTTTTATATAAATAAATTTTGGTGTTTTTTATTTCTAACTGCAAAAATATTCGGCTACGAATTTCTAGTGGTCTCTCTTAATAATTTCATGTTTGTGGAATTTCACTGCAACAGAAAATTGTCGAAATTAAGTTTTGCCGTTGGCGAGGCTTCTAAGTTCTCCATATGGTTGGGATTGATAGGAACCAGTTGAACAATCTATAGAATTATTAGTTGTTATTATTTCACTCAAACGACATCCTTTACATCTCAATCTACCGTTGGTTATATGTGAAAGCAACTCAGAAATATTATCTCATGAGTCTTAGTCATTTGGAAAATTCAAAGAGGCTGGATGTACGTTTTTTATTCAATTGAGGGAAACCAAAAAAAAAAAGGATAAAGTATAGTTTTAATTTTTAACCTCTTATATAAGGTTTCAATTTGGTCCCTTCATTTTAAAAACTAAACTTATAATTTTTAAGAACTTCAATGTTGAGAAAACACTCTCAAATGCTAACATATTAAGTTTAATTTTTAAAATAATTACAATTATTATAAAAAATTATATTAAAACTAACAATTTTAGAGTTAAAGAACTAAACATACACTTTTTAAAGTTAAATGATCAAACTAAAACCTTATACAAAATTAAAGGATGACATGTATACTTTAGTTTAAATCAAATAAGGGTTTTTTTTCTTCTTAAAACTCACCTATCCTAACCCTCCCTATATGAGGGATTACTCACACACCCAAACACAACACCCACACACACTTCCCCTGAGCCACATGGGGTTGGGTGATGCCATTTGAGCCAAAGCTCATTGGCATAATCAAATCAGGGTAGAAAGTAACGAGTGGAGATATTTCCGTTCATATAAATTAAAGTTACTAACCTCTAGCATAAGGAGCTTGAAATTATTATAGAAAGTCAATAATCTGAGTTTTTGTTACTGATTATGATTAACATTTCTAAAAAAATTCTGTAAATTAAGAAAATTAGATAATAAGTGCAAGATGGTTTAATTTTCTTGTTTTTATTAGTTTCCTATGGTTACTAAATCACTTTTGTTGCTCTGAACAATGCGTACGTTTTGTATGGCAAGAGCTTTTTCTGTGGTTATGTATATATAAATATCCATAATTGATTCTATTTAGTGAGATAAGACTTGTTATTATTATATGTATACACACACATTTAAAGTCCTCTATATATGTTTTATTAGCTTTATATTACAGTTGTTAT